ACAAGCAGCACCTGTTTACAAGTGTCTGTCAAATTCTTCTCGCTTGTTTGGGGAACAGAAGAAATAGAAGACAGCTGATTCCTTTTAACATCTTCTGTGTGTTCACTCTGTTAAAACATAAGGTTATTGATCTTTTAATATATGAATTAAACACTCATACAATTAATCTAAGATGATAATTAAAGCCAAACAAAATTTGAGATATGCAAGCATACTGGTTCTAAATATCCATTTATATTATGCCTGTCAAATAAATAAATAAAACAGTGGTCATTTATTAAGCTCAGAAGAAAATATAGCAAAAGAAAGTCATGGAATTCTGGGATAACATGCTGCTCCCTTAGCATTTAATCAAAAATTCTTGTTGCTATGAAAGTGTTATTGCCTTGACTTGCATTATTCAATGTTTTGATATCCATAATATAGGAAGTATGTGAAGGAAAGGAAGAATCAGAACCCACCAAATACTTGGACACCTAATTGCTTAAAATTTGATGTAAGCATTACCATCTTTCCACTGTCACAGACTGTGGGTATTTAATAATAGTGTCAGGTATTTTAAACAGTTTGTCAAACATGGTGAAATTTCTTAAACTTTAAGAAATTATGAAAAAAAACCCTGGAAGATAGCAATTTTCTCAATGCATCCTTTCTTAAAAGGACTAAAGTTCAGCCCATCTTTATTTTCAAATTGTACAAGTATTACACACTTCCTAAAGGTCTCAAAATAAAAGATGATGCACATGTTCTTACCATTTCATTTTGGATTGTTTGTAAAGTTTTCTTATGTGTTTCAATTGCTGCCTGCATAGTCTCAACTTCATGATGAACACCGGTTACTGTGCTACCTATGGTAGCAACACTCTGAAAAAAAGTTAGTAGCAATCTTGTAGTTATCAGACACTTACTACTAGATTAAAAACATGAAAAATAAGTAAACTAATTCCAGAGCACAGCTGCAATAACTTGTGATACCATAATATGAAAAACCACCATGGCAAGAAGCTTATTGTGGCAAGACTTTTGAAGACAACACAAACCATTAACAAAAGCGACTTCCAGAATAGTAGATCTAAGAGCCTGAACTCACACTGCTTCAAATGACATTGCTTTCTGGCATTTCCATGTAGGAAAATGGCACACATACTGCATGTACCCAATCATGTATAACAGATACACATATAATTATTTTGCGATATAAAGAGGTTGAGTTACGACAGTTAAGTGCATTTTCAGACTGCATTTGTAAAGAGATGGGCTTAGGCAAATGGGTTTCTGATAAAGAAGCAACATCCAATGGGAAGATGAGAAGTAGCCTTTAGAGATGTATACATGCTCATGTTATCAGTTCAATCAAAAAATAAGAAGTACTTTTTAGACTGTATTACATGTCCTCATCCTTGATTTTTCACGTTGCCTCGCTAAAAACAATACAATGTTTTAGGAAGGAGGAAAAAGAAAAATGCTCAACAGTATGGGACTTGTGTATTGCATGTAGATCAAGAAGCTGGTTTCTAGACAGAATACTATCTTGACAGCAGCCCCGTTTCCATTGCCATGTAACCACCACGCAGCACATGTGTGAATATGATATCGAACACATGAGATACAACTATCACTTACTAGCAAACCCACACACTGTGAAATGTGATTGGGCCAAGCACTAACTTCTCATACCTACATACTTTTGAACAATAGTATATGCCAATGATGGAAAGCAACTTTTTAAAGGGTTATTCCCACTAACTACATTTGAAGTTTTACCAAGGTATATGCTTCTTCATAAACTATGGAACACAGCTAAAGGCTACAGAAAAATACTTTACATGCACACACAAATACTGTCTGTGATGGGAAAAGTTAAATGAAACCAGCAATCATTAGTTCTGAACACTGAAGTTGCATACAACATACAGAATAACTTTGGATCAGGAATTTATAACCTCTTTTGGCTCTAGGATTCCTTTGAACTGTTAAAACGAGGAACCCCCTCAAAAGAAAAATATACTTAAATATAACTTTCAAAGTATCAGAAAAGAAATTACTTTCTGAAATCAGTTCATGAACCTCCTAAGGTACATGGACTGCAAGTTAAGAATTCCTGCTTTAGATGGTAAGTGTAGTACAGACCTTCTGAAGATCTTCCACTGTAGCAGGAAGATTAATCAAATCAGAAGCAGATTTAATGTTTGCTTTCAGATGATTTACAGCCAATATCAGCAAAGATATCTGAAATA